TCTTCTTCTTCTTCTTCTTCTTCTTCTTCTTCTTCTTCTTCTTCTTCTTCTTCTTCTTCTTCTTCTTCTTCTTCTTCTTCTTCTTCTTCTTCTTCTTCTTCTTCTTCTTCTTCTTCTTCTTCTTCTTCTTCTTCTTCTTCTTCTTCTTCTTCTTCTTCTTCTTCTTCTTCTTCTTCTTCTTCTTCTTCTTCTTCTTCCCGCCAAGCAATGATTGCATTTTTATTTTTGCTTCTTTAAGGAGAACGTTTCATTTGTTCAAAAAAAATAATAATAAAAATGAGGTTATTTGCTAACAGAGTCGTGAGTCTTCCCAAACTGTAAGAGAGTCAGAAGATTTTTCAGTCATCGGGCAACCTTATTTTCTACGTTCATTTTTTTCCCCCCCAAGCAAATATATTTTTTTTTACTTGCTCTAGGAGAGCTTTTTTTAAAATCAAAAGGAATGAGATCTACATTCATTCATACGTACAGATTTTCTTTCTCCTTTGGGGAATCGCTCATAGCTTTCTAAAAATATCTTTCGTTGGTATGTGTGTTAGTGTTTAAAAAGTCTTACATTTCAATGCCGAGTGGCTAATTTTGCAAAGGCATGGAATTCTCTCCCTGCCCCCATTCCATCTCCCCTTCCTCCAGAATAGCTTTAGAAAAGTCTAACCGTTTCTGTTGCTGTCTGAAAAAAAAGAAGACGTATTTGTCTACTGCATTCCTGACTCGTCTCCAGTCTGGAACCCCTGATTTGGGGAATGCACTTGGAGGAGACTCCAGGACCACGTTTATTATATTCCGAGACATAATGCCATTTATCTTTGGCTCTCCGTTTGTTTCTCCCTTAGTACGATCCTGGAGGAGGAAAAGCTGCAGCAGGAAGAACGACTAAGGATGGAGTCCAGGCGACAAGTGACCGTGTCCTGGGATTCTGGAGGATCCGATGAAGCTCCTCCCAAGGTACTATTGAGTGAAGATCGGTTTTATCTCAAATATCTTTTATCCTCAAAGAGCGTTCAGTGCTTTATTTCTGCCGGCTTGTAAATTCACAGAGGAGCAGTGCTGAGTCCACTTAACAGACCGAGGTTCCCTTTTGGTTAAAATCCAAGCAACACTTTTTTTTTAATAACTACTAATAGAAGAGAATATTTGTAGGTTGAACTGTGGGGTCCTTGGTGCTCTTTGAGCGTGGTTGTTTTCATGAAATGTCTGCAAGAAAACAACCAAGGACTCCTCAGTAATTACTGCCCAGCTAACTTTGATAAATTAGAAACAAACAACCAATAACAAGTGATGGTCACTATCTGTAATGATTTGTTAACTGGGGAGGGGGGAATTAAATACTCTGTTCACAGATAATAATAATAATAATAATGATGATGATGATGATGATGATGATGATGATGATGTTGTTGTTGTTGTTCAAGGTCCCTTCCAACATTATTATTATTATTATTATTGTTGTTGTTGTTGTTAATAAAGTCTTTCTGACATGATTTTTGTTTGTTTTTGCAAAGAGGTACAGTTCTACTTTGGGAAAAAACACACACAATATGGTGATTACTTCTGATAACAGGATATTTTTTTTGTGATATTCAACCAGGTTGCTAATTATTCTTCTCTACATTCACATTTTCTTCT